GCTCCAGCTAGTTTCCTTTAACAACCTGTAAGACTGGGGCACAGATGAGGAGACTGAGGGTCAGCGAGGTGAGGCCCTGCTGCAGGTGGCAGAGCCGGGGCTGAACAAGCTTTGCCTGATCCAGCGTCCAGGCTCCGGGCAGCAGAGCGAGGGCCACGGGAGGCCTGTGCCCTCCGAGCTATGGCCTCTGCAGCCCACCCGGGTCTCCTCACCTGGTTGGCGTCATAGAAGAAGCCCCTCCTCAGCTGCAGCAGGGCCAGCCGCACCAGCACGGGGGCTGCCTGGGGCCTCCGGGACAGGGCCACCAGCAGGGCCTTGTGGGCATCGTGCAGGCGGCCCAGGCGGTACAGGGCATCTGCTGCCAGCAGGCGGGCTTCCTCATCCTCCACGTCCAGCTCCATCAGCAGCGTGGCCAGCTGGTGCACGCGTGGGCGTCTCTGTGGGGAGAGCGGGCCGGCCCTTCCTGACACCTGTGCTCACGAGGTAAGCCCTGTCCCCCTGCACCCTGGCCTGGGCAGCTCCCTTCCCAAGCGACTGCAGAGACCTGAGTCCCTCGGAAGGACACTCCAGCCACCCCCAGCACCCACGGCGGCCTGTCCTCACACACAGCCTCGCGCCTCCCCTCTCGCGCACCTCCCCCGCCCTGGGAGGGAGGCATTTTACAGATGGTGAAACTGAGGTCCCGTGGACAGTGAGTGGCAGGGCTGACCCCGAGCAGACCCTGCCTCAGTTTCCTCTTCTGTACAAACACAAGTTAACAACGTGGCCTTGCTGGGCTCTGGGTGTGTGGTTTGTAGCAGAACGGAGGATACACACACGGCGTGCCCCTGGGTGCCCCTGGTGCGTGGCATGCTGGGAGGGAGTTCTCATGGGGAAAGGGGCCCAGGCTCAGACTTCATGGTTCCTGGGAAGAAACAGCCAGGTCACACATGCAAACGTTCCTCACCAGCAAACAAAATGGATCAAGCAGAGGAACTATGTGCACGTGTGTGTGCTGGGTAGGGGCTGACATCAAACAGTCCCCCCCCCCAGGCTCCCAGTCTGGGGGCTCTTTTACCTTTGCTAAAATGCCCTCCTTGCAACTCCCAATAACCAGGTTGTGCAAATTGGAACAGCGGGAAGGTCACCATTGGGATGGCCAGAATCTGCACAACGAGCACCAGGCAGAGGGTGGCCAGAGGGTTGGGGTGGCAGCCCCGAAGTCAAGAGTCCAACGGGGCAGTGGCTCCCTGATCTGGGAACACCATGCATCTCCATCCTAAGGCCGTTAGCCACAGTGTGTTCCGGGAGCAGCAAGCCCGCGCTGTGGAGGAATTGGCGGACACTCAGGCTGGGACAGTTGCCTGCCTTATCTACTGCATAAAAGGTGGCACGAACTGCACATACGGCACAAACTCAGTTTTGTGTGATTTTTTTTTTTTTTTTTTTTAGGACAGAGATTCTCACTCTGTTGCCCAGGCTAGAGTGAGTGCCGTGGCATCAGCCTAGCTCACAGCAACCTCCGACTCCTGGGCTCAAGCGATCCTGCCTCAGCCTCCCAAGTAGCTGGGACTACAGGCATGCGCCACCATGCCCGGCTAACTTTTTCTATATATTTTTAGTTGGCAAATTAATTTCTTTCTAATTTTAGTAGAGATGGGAGTCTCACTCTTGCTCAGGCTGGTTTCGAACTCCTGACCTTGAGTGATCCTCCCGCCTCGGCCTCCCAGAGTGCTAGGATTACAGGTGTGAGCCACTGCGCCCAGCCTGTGGGATGTTTTATATGCACAAAAAGAAACGACTAGAAAGAAATGTTGATGGGTTGGTGGGATAACAGGCACGTTTTATCTTCTGGTTCCATTTTTTGAGTTTCTCATGCTCTAGGGACAGGCAGCCCCAGCACATCGTGCTGTTTGGGAATGAGGGTCTAGTCTGCCTCCGGTGCCAGGGAAATCACCCAGCCACGCTGCCTCAGTTTATTCATCTGTAAAACGGGGAGAAACACGTCCCTGGCTCCCCCGAAGGAGACCACAATGACAGCGGACTGGCTTTTACCCCTCCTGCTCCGCAGGGCGGCCGGTCCCCGAGGCGTCCCCGCCGCGCTGCAGCAGCCTGCGGCCCTGCTCCCGGAGCACGGTCAGCAGCAGCCCCCGCTGGTTCCAGGGCACGTAGGCCTTGGCGGCCAGCAGCGCGTCCTCGGGCCGCAGCCTGCAGGCGGTGACATAGTCCAGCGTGCCCAGGAACGCGCTGCCCGCCAGCACCCGCAGCAGCCCGCGGCCGCACAGCGCGCGCACGCAGCCGCCCGGGTGCGGCGCCCCCTGCTCCACCACCGCCTGGAAGTCCTCCTGCGCGCGCAGCGCGTCGCCGGCGTGGAGCGCGCAGAAGCCGCGGAGCGCCAGCAGGGGCGCGCGGGCCGCAGCGTGGTCACCCGCACCACCTCCCGCGAGCAGGCGCTCGCACAGTGCCCGGGCGCCCGCCGCGTCCCCGGCCAGCAGCAGGCACTCGGCCAGGCGGGCGCTCAGCGCGGGTCGCACCCCGGCAGGCGCCACGCGGAGCAGGACGCGGAGCGCGCGGGCCACCGGGGCCAGCAACTCGC